AGACACGGTAGTGAAAGTTCTCACTCTGCATTATAAAAAGGACAGCCAGATATCAACTGTTACAGAAATGAAATAAGAAAATTTTTAACAAACTGTTTAAGCTATTTTCTTAAAGAGACTTCCTCCACTGCCAGAGATCTTGAATAGCCTCCTGGTCAGTCATCCGGAAACAATTCTTCACATAATTGATAAACTTGGCTTCCACTTTGGGAAGGGAACCACCTTTTTCTATACTTGCTTGCATTTTTGCTTTAATGTCTTCTACAGAGCTAGGTCCTTTCGGTGTTTTAGGTGTTTTTTCCTGTTTTTTGAAAGATTATTGACCTTTTGATCTTGATGTTGATGGTTTTGAGTCTCTTCCATTTTGGTTCGATTTTTGTGCATTTTTGGCTGGAGTATCTCATACAGATTTCTTTACTGGAGCTTTTTCTTCAACTTCCTCATCAAAATCGTCATCATCATCGTTGTCATCTTCATCATCATCGTCGTCTTCATCAGCAGCAAGCTTTACTTTTTTCTGGGGAAACTTGCTACCACTTCCAGGGGCAGAACGCTTTCCAGATATACTTAAGAGTTTCACATCCTCCTCTCGCAGGACGGAATCACGTCAGGGAAAGTGGCAAACCCAATATTTAAGTTTATGTGATTTATAAACTTACAACCCAATGTGTAAGTTTATATATTTTAATTTAAGTTTATATAATTTATAAGTTTATAATTTATAAATTTATAATTTATAAGTTTATATAAGTTTATAAAATTTAATTCTTAACAGTAGCTGTGCTTAATAAGTGGTTTGCAGATTTCCTGGAAATCTAGCAAATCAGTTCTGGTTACAGGCTGACTCACTACTGCTCGTTGCCCTCCTTGGACTGGGTCGAGTCCTGGTACCTGGAACTTTTGTGGATGAAGGCACAGTTATCAGCCTTTAGTCTACAATATAGATTACCATGGAACTCTCATTTCCAGGCTCCAGAGACTCTGGTGTGTCTTTGCATGTTGAGTGAGAATCATCTACCTCAAGGCTGTTAACATTCAGCTGGTGAGAACTGACATGGTCATAATGGTTCTGTATGGCCAGTGTCTATTCTCACTGATGAGTGCCCATGACATACATGATGGTCCTGTATTTTGAACCTCACCTCTGATCCAATTTTCCTGCTGTACCATTTCCTCTGAAGCCTGGAACATTTCCTCTGAAACCTGGAACATCCTCCAGGCATGACTGCAGAGCAGAGGACAAATCCCCACTGGGAGGTGCGCCCACAGTTGTGCACAACCCTCTTTCTTTGCCACGTGCCTGGATGTCCCCACACAGGTAACTCCTGGCCTCTTAACTCTACCTCTCATGGGTTCCTGGGGCTCCTGGGTTTCCAAAGCATCAACCTCTAAAGCCTTCTATGCTCATTCACTCAGATGTGTCTGACTCTCTGTGACCCTCTGGATGGCAGCCCATGGGATTTGTCCCAGAAAGAATATTGGAATGGGTTGCCATTTCCTCCTCCAGGGGATCTTCCTGACCCAGGGATTAAACCCTCATCTCCCATATCTCCTGCAGGGCAGGCAGATTTTTTACCACTGAGCCACGGGGGAAGTCAAAGCCCTCTAACCTGGGTTCCCACACTGTACAGGGCAATGAGTCTGCAACTAACAGAGGGGTCCCTGTGGATCTCATCCCTTGATTCTGAGGGCCAAGTACACAGGCCATCTCTGAGCTTGGCTCTGCTTGAAACTCTGAGACTGCACCATCATCCCCCTTGCGTTGGGACATTCTCTGCAGGGTAATTGCAACAGTGACAATTACATGAGTCTGATGGGGCTGTCAGAACATAACACAAGGTCTGAACAACAGATGTTTATTTTCTCTTAGTTCTGGCAGCCAGAAGCCAATGATCAAGGTGCATATCCTACAGTTCAGAAGACATCTACTAGCTAAGCCCTTACCTAGCCTTTTCTCTATGTGTGCATGTTCTTGGCATCCTCTCCTCCTCTTATGAGGACACCAATCCTATTGGACTAGGGCCCCACTTATCTGACCTCACTTAACCTTAATTACATTTTCACTAGAATGGGAAAGACTAGAGATCTCTTTAAGAAAGTTAGAGATACCAAGGGAATATTTCATGCTAAGATGGGTACAATAGAGGACAGAAGTGGTATGGACCTAATAGAAGCAGAAGATATTAAGAAGAAGTGACAAGAATACACAGAAGAACCATACAAAAAAGAGCTTCAAGACCCAGATAACCACGATGGTGTGATCACTCACCTAGAGCCAGACATTCTGGGATGCAAAGTCAAGTGAGCCTTAGGAAGCATCACTACGAACAAAGCTAGTGGAGGTGATGTAATTCCAGTTGAGCTATTTCAAATCATAAAAGACAATGCTGTTAAAGTGCTGCACTCAATATGCCAGCAACTTTGGAAAACTCAGCAATGGCCACAGGACTGGAAAAGATCAGTTTTCAATTCAATCCCAAAGAAAGGCAATGCCAAAGAATGTTCAAACTACAGCACAATTGCACTCATCTCACATGCTACCAAAGTATGCTCAAAATCCTCCAATCCAGGCTTCAACAGTATGTGAACTGTGAACTTCCAAATGTTCAAGCTGGATTTAGNAGACTGCTGGGAGAAATATCAATAACCTCAGATATGCAGATAACATCACCCTTATGGTAGAAAGCAAAGAAGAACTAAAGAGCCTCTTGATGAAAGTGAAAGAGGAGAGTGAAAAAGTTGGTTTAAAACTCAACATTCAGAAACTAAGATCATGGCATTCGGTCCCAACACTTCACAGCAAATAGATGGGGAAACAGTGGAAACAGTGACAGACTTTATTTTTGGGGGCTCCAAAATCACTTCCGATGGTGAGTGCAGCCATGAAATTAAAAGACGCTTGGCCCTTAGAAGAAAAGCTATGACCAACCTAGACAGCATATTAAAAAGCAGAGACATTACTTTGCTAACAAAGGTCTGTCTAGTCAAAGCTATGGTTTTTCCAGTAGTCATGTATGTGAGAGGATGTGAGAGCTGGACTATAAAGAAAGCTGAGCACTGAAGAATTGATACTTTTGAACTGTGGTGTTGGAGAAGACTCTTGAGAGTCCCCAGTCAATCCTAATGGAAATCAGTACTGAATATTCATTGGAAGGACTGATGCTGAAGCTGAAACGCCAATACTTTGGCCACCTGATGCGGAGAACTGACTCACTGGAAAAGACTCTGATGCTGGGAAAGACTGAAGGCAGAGAGAAGGGGACGACAGAGGATGAGAGGGTTGGATAGCATCACTGACTCGATGGACATGAGTTTGAGCAAGCTCTGGTAATTGGTGATGGACAGGGAAGCCTTGCATGCTGCAGTCCATGGGGTCACAAAGAGTCAGACATGACTGAAAGACTGAACTGACCTTTTCAATGGCCCTCTCTCCAAATGCAATTATGTAGAGGGTTGGGGTTTCAACACACAGATTTTGAGCGGACACAATTCAGTCTGTAATAACTACTGATCACTTGAAATGTGGTTGGTCTAAATTAATATATGTTCTAAGTGTAACTATACACTGTGGATTTTCATCATTCACCTGTTTTCATCACATGTTCAAAAGATAATATAAATTTCTCATTAATACCTTTTAAAAAATACAAAACCAATACAACATTGTAAAGTAAAATAAATAAATTAATTTAAAAAATGCTATTTGAATTAAAAAATACCTTTTTATATTGATTACATGCTGAATGATAATATTTTGGATATATTTGGCTAAATATATTACTAGAATGACTTTCACTTGTTTTTTCCCCCACTTTAAAATTTTTTTTCAATGTGGGCTACTGAAAATTTTTAATTTACATGAACAGATCATATTATATTTCTGCTGGACAGTGGGTGTCCAGAGACCCTCTCAGAGCTGATACAGCCACCCCTCTGGTGGTTGGTGGGGGATTGTTCTCTGGGGCCCTATCTTGATGCCTCCCTTCATCCCCCCTTCATCCCTTCCTTCTCCCCAGTTTCTAAAGCCCATACCTCTCTGCCTCTTCTTGGGCTGAGTCATCCCATTCAGTCAAAGCTGTGCTGTTATACAGGTGGGCAGCAAAGGAAGGACTTCCTGACCACAGCAGTGAGGACGGAAACATGTCCCTGTGATTCTGACCAGGGTCTGGCTCAGAGTGGGAGACGCGTAAGAAAAGCAGCCCGCCAACCCCCACGCTGCCTGTAGCACCCCCCGCTTAGCATGTCTCTTGTGTGTTTTCTGTTAAAAGAACCTCCATTTCTTACCCTGCCCTGAGTTGCTCTGCCAAAAGCCCCATGTACAACCCCATGTTGGAATGTTATAGGTCCCAGGAAATTCCACCTCACCCCGCAGCAATGAATAAAATATGGTCCCAGATCTCTGCTCTTGCTACCTTGCAGGAAGGAAATGGTGGGGTGGACAAAGCTATGAGTGACACTGTATACAAGGCTCTGGCATTTTAATGTATTATTTCACCATGTCTTTCTAACAAACCCATATTATTATATTCACTCTACAGTTAAGGAAACAGAGACTCAGGGAGGTTAAGAAGCTCCTCCAGGGTCACCATCTGGCAGGTAGCTGGGCCCATATTTGAGACCAAGTCTGTCTGACTCTTGGCTACCATGCTGTGGGTGTGCCGTAAAAAGGGAAGAATTTTCATGTGCTCCAGCACATGAAGACTCTTTTGAGTTGGATTCAGTCCCTGGAAGGAAAGCAGAGGGAATTCTAGGCTCGGGACTGGCCTGAGCAAGAATGGGAAGGTCACTCTGGTGCAGGTCACTCTGGTACTCCCTGCAAAGTCCAGCCAAGAAATGGGTCTGTCCCCAGTCCTCACAGGGCTGCCCTCCTGCCAACCTCTGGCTTATGGCTCAGGCTGAGGGGCACTGAGACTGGGTAAAGACCCCATGCATCCCCCCGTAGCCCATCAGCTCGACCCTATCAGCTTGTCTGCGGGTCGTTCAGTGAGGGGCTCACTCACCGGCTTCGTTTAAGGTCTTTCTTGAGGTTTATTATTTCCTTCTCCATATACCTGATGCTTCTCATTGGCTTTTCTGGGACCTGAGGGAAGTCAAGAAATGAGAGGAAAAGCTTTAGTACAACTGTTAGCAGTGAGCTGGGCTGCAGGAGGCTCATGTGTTCATGTGAGACGTCTGATCAGGCTGGAGGGGGCCCTGGGGGTCACAGCATCCTTGTCTCCATCAAAGAGAGGCCCTGGGGCATGCTGGAAACAGCAAGAGCTTTGGAGATGGACGAATCTGAGCTCTGAACCTCGTTCTGTCTGGTGACTACCTGTGTGACCTTGGAAAAATTACTCATTCTCTCTGAGTCCTAGTTTCTTCAGCAGAATGGGGGGCTATTTCTTACCTTGTTGTGATGATCAAATTAGTTGCTAAATTTCTGACTCACGGCAAACTTTGGAAAAACAGAAGCTTCTATTACAAGCATCATACTCAAACAAAAAGTTAAATATTGATAATCATTGTTGTAGGTGGCACAGGTAGTGGATTTAGACAGCTGAATTTTGTCAATATAAAGATGCAAATGTACCCTTCCCACTGCTCCCCTAGCAGGATTTTATGAGTGATTTATCCGAGTAATTGTTTATGGGATTTTCTTTCCCTTTTTGCTATTCATTTGCCTTTCTTAGCCACTGGGGAAACCTCACAAGACAAATTTATTACTCAGAGGTGGATACTGGGTCAATATAAAGAAGAGAGTTCAATTAACTATATTTTAATATAAAAATCACTTTTCTCAGCCACCAATTTGGTGAACAATAACAAGACTATTAACTTGATTATCTTGTCTTAAAGTCAATTCCTATAATATTAGGTTTTTTTTTAATTAAAGGAAATGCCAAGAAATTATGAGAAAATGGATGCTTTCAGATGAAACTGGTGGGAGAATACATTGTACTGTCTTTTCTGAAGGGCAATTCATCAGTGCATACTAAATGCTGTAGAAGTGGGCATGCCCTTGGGTCTAATGATTCTTCTGCTGTCAGGCATCCTGTGGGACTATCCTTGCATGGGCACAGAGGTTCATCCACAAAACTGCTAGGATGCTGCCTGTGACAGCAAACTCATTGAAATCACAAGTTCACAATAGAAGACAGGTTCAGCAATCATGGTGCCTCGTAAGGACAGAATGCTATGCAGCAATTAAATGTAATGACAGTATAACAATGTAAAGTGTAGAGATGCTCTGAGGAGTTCTCTGAGAAAGACTCATTACAAAGTAATAGGTAATGCATGATTCTTTGTTTTTGGAAAAATGATCTGTTTGGATGTACACATATCAAAAGATATTAAAAAAAAAAAACTCCCTTGTCATGTGGTAATTCTCTCTGGGGTGGGATTATGGCAGATTTTATTACGTTCTCTTAGCTTATGTGATTTTCCCATTGCTCTGCAGTAAATGTTAATCAGTTATATAATAAACAAAGAGAAAAGATTTAAAGAAAAAATAAACAGCAAGTGAAATTTGACCACGGCGGATGGGTGGAACTGTATTGAGAGTGGTTTCTGAAGGCACAGTGAGGACGGGTCAGCTGTTCACAGAAATCATAGTAATGTGCACATGTGGGAAAATTGGGCTGTGGTGCCTGCTGCTCTGGGCCCTTTGAGTGGAATGAGGAAGGAAGGGAATGGAGCCATATCAAAACTGAATGAATGTGGATGGACCCAGAGATTGTCATACTGAGAGGAGTAGGTCAGAGAAAGACAGATATCGTACGCTATTGATTACATGTGGAATCTAAAAAAATGGTACAAATGAAGTTATTCACAAAACAGAAACAGCATCACAGATTTAGCAAACGAATTTATGGTTATCATAGGATAGGGGGAGGTTAGGATTGGAGGTTAGATTTGGAGGTTAGGATTGCCATATACACACAGCTATGTATAAAATAGATAACTAATAAGGACCTCCTGTATAGTACAGGAAACTCTACTCAATACCCTGTTATGACCTGTATGGAAAAGGAAGCTAGAAAAGAGTAGATATAGGTATACTGTGTAACCGATTCACTTTGCTGTAGAGCAGAAACTAAAGCAGCATGGTGAGACATTACACTCCAGTAAAATATTTTTTAAAAATTGAATGACATTTCCCGTGGGGTGGAGGAGATGCAGAGTGGGGTCTGGAGTAGAGGGAAGGGACTGTCACAGGCTTGCCTGATTCTGAACCACTTTTCTCCTGGGCTACCGAGTATGTGTCCTGTGCCAGGCAGCTCAGATTAGAGGTGGAGAGTCTACTGCAAGTCCCCAGGGTACTCCTTCTGGTTCACTAAATAAAGCAGGCATGCATGCATGCGTGCTCAGCAGTGTCTGACTCTTTGCGGCCCCATGGACTGCAGCCCGCCAGACTCCTCTGTTTGTGCAATTTCCCAGGCAAGAATACTGGAGTGGGTAGCCATGTCCTTCTCCAGGGGATCTTCTGACCCAGGGATGGAACCTGGGTCTCTTGCATTGGCAGAATGACTTCACCATCTGAGCCACCAGGGAAGCCCATGGAAGTAAATATAACATATTGTAAGAAGGGACTGAACCCATGTCTCTTGTGTCTCCTGCATTGGCAGGAAGATTCTTTACCACTGGCACCACCTGGGAAGCCCAAATAAAGCATAGAGGATACAAAAAAGTATCTGAGACAGCCTTGAATAAGTTCTGCTAGACATGAAACAATGAAGTCATTTATAAACTTTATCTTTCTTGCTATCATTAGCAATAACTTATAGGTAATATATCAAGCTTATGCCAACATACCAGGGTGTTTCTATCCCTTGGCTGAAAATTGATGGCAAATCTATCAGTTTTCATCTTGAGGGATGGTGAAGTGGGTGGAGAGGGAGACTTCCAAGGAGGCCTGTAAGAATTTCCAGGAGTTCTTCTTAAAACTTCTAAATAATGGACATTGGCTTTTCTCGCACTCCTGGTATCCCTTCTCTCCTCTTGATATGTGTTTGCCTGCCCCTCTCCCACGCAGCACTGGAGCCTTGGAAAAAACTCATGGTATCAGCAACAGGGGTGGTCCTAAGTGGCTGGAGCCAGACAGCACAGAGCCCACCTCTCAGTGGGCTGGCCGAGGGATGGTCATGTGACCCAGTTTGGACAATGAGTTACACGGTTCTAAGAAACATGATTCCTAAGTCTAAGGAACCACAGGCAGAGAAGTTCTATTTCCTCAGAGACTATGGACAGAGAAGCAGATACCTGTGGGGGTGTTGGCAGCCATTTTGTGCCCATGAGGGAGCCACCCTCCAGCTGAATAAGATGTGGGGAAGAGCAGAGAGAAGAGTCAAATAAAAACCTGTTCCATGGTACCTTGCTGAATTGATCAACCTTCATTAGAACCTGAACTTTTCACAAACATTTCCTTTATTATTTCAACTGGTTTGACTTGGCTTTTCTTTCCCTCACAACCACAGTATTTCTGAAACAGCTTCCTCCCTTAGATGTGTCAGGGCAGCAACAGATCAATAATTATTTCAACCAGTTCTCTTTTTCCTCTAGAAAATTAAGATCAGATGATCTCTGTTCTGGTGCATTTTTCAGTGAAAGCAATGAGACTGCCCTATTTTGAGATCAAACATTTGAAATCAGGGTTGCCTTTTTCTAATCCCCCCTCCTTTTATGAGCACCCAGTTAATTCCTTCTTTCAGAACCAAAGCAACTTTCATCACAGATGTTATGATTAGAACACATTTATGAACAAAGACAAAATGAACACATTCAGATTTCCTTGCCATAATTTGAAAATCTATGACTGAAATGCTTCCTGGTGTCAGTTGTGTACCCTTTACTCTCCTAAACATCCCATGTTTCACCCCTTCATGAA